TGTAATCCACATTCTAGCTTGTTTTTTTCTTTCTGTAAATGGGGATGTGGTTCAGAGAGACAAAGAATGTAGTAAAAGTCATGCTTCATTACATGTTCTGTTTCCTGTCTCAAAGAACTTCACATTATTTTCAATAAGGACTAAGGCAGTGCAGCTCCCAGCATAGTGCTGTCAGGCATATTCCACTCCTGCAGGAAATGAGATCCCTCCCTCCTGAGGCTCAGCAATGGATGTGTTGTTCTTCTTTAATGGGGCCCCCGGACTGCCATCTTGTTAGAGCACACGACTGGCATTTTGCAGTCATTTGCTTCCTCTTAAACAGAAACAGTACTATTTTACACTTTATTCATTTTGTCTTTGTCCAGAAATAATAATTACTGAGTATTTGAAGTATTCTTCCCCCCTCCACCAAACCTTTGATTGAATGCAGAAGTGACCTGTTTATAAAAAAAAAAAAAAACTTACATTGAATAATTGATAATCAGAATATCATAAGTAGGTCAGTAATGTACTCAAATCCCATCATTTATTGGAAAAATTGGAAGTTTGGATTAACTATGTGTTATTTTGCAAACTATTATAATCCCAGACATTCACTACCCCATGAGTGCATTTTTATTGATGAAATATTCTTGACATAATGAGGCTCTTTGCCCTATGGTTAATTTTCCCTTTAACCAACATTCAAAGTCATTTCATGGACTATTGAGTTATAAGCAGTTGTCATTTATTCATTCATTTAGTCCTTCATATAACAAATAGGATGCCAATTCTCTGCCAGACCCTGTGGCAGGCACTGGAGTTACCATGGTGAGCACGACAAGTTCTTGGTCCTCGAGAAGCTCACAGCATAGCTATCAGGAACAACCTTAACCATATAAGTGCTGTGAAGCTTAAGTGTATGTGTGTGGGGGGGCAACAGGTGTTACAAGAGAAAACAGTATGCCTGTGTCCTAAGGCAGGAGTGTTTGTAGCTTCGCTTAGAGGAACTGAGAGTTAGACATTTCAAGACTAAGTGAGGCATTGGCAAGAGATGAAGTAACTCAATTATTCTGGTCTTTATACAAAGGTCTATAAAAAGCAGGAGAGTGGTGAGGTCAGAATTATATTTTTCAAAGTTCACTCTGGTTGTGCATGGAAAATGGATGGGAGAAAACAAAGAGTGGAAGGAGGAAGGCTAAGAGGTTGTTGTAGAATTCCAGAAGAAAGGTGATGATAGTTTGGACTAGGAGGGTAGCAGCAGAGATAGAAAGAAGTAGGTAAAATCTGAGAATGATTTACAAAATAGGGTTAATGGGAATAGGCTGATAGGATTGGTTGAGGGAATGAGGACAGTGAGAAGGCCAGCCAGGTTTCTGGCTCGGGAAGCAGGGTGGATGGGAAACAGTGAAAGTGGATCCAGTTGTGTGGGGACAGCACCAAGATTTCCCTTTGGATGTATGAGGTTGGAGGGCCTGAGAGGCATCCACCATTTGGAGATGTAGACAGTCAGAATTTATTCCTCTAAATTCTAGGGGACAGTTCAGGACTAAAGATGTGGCATTGGTAGCACGAAAGTGGTGGTTAAAACCTTGACTACAGGGGGAGACATCCCACAGTCAGCATGTAGAACAGGGGGAGAAGAGGATGAAGGCTGGGACCTGGTGCTCTCAGGAAGGGCAAGGTGGCCTTCTGGGGAAGCAGTCTGAAAGGCGGAAGGCAGTTGGTGATAGGATGCTGGAGCTTAGCGGAAAGGTGGGGCTATAGGGAGTGGCACTTACAGGACAGTAGAAACCGTGGGGGAGAAGGAGATAGCCTAGGGAGTTTAGAGTATTTTTGTATTTATAACATTGGCTCTGATAACATATTGTTAGAAACGGGGTTAGTGAGGTAGAAATAACCCAAAAGATAATGAGCCCCAAAGAAGGAAGGGAATGCAATGCAGAGGCATAGTTGAAATCAAAAGTTGGCATGATTGTGGGACAACTTGGGCCATTGGCATCCTGTGGTTTATAAAAGTTTATGTTCTAGATCCTAGTTTCATGAGTACACTACTCAAGGGTTTTAAAAGCTTGCAAGCAGCAATCTAAGATACAGCTACTGATCTCTTCTTGTCAAGAGCAAAAAAGAAAGAAAGAAACCAAAGACTCAGAGAAGAAACTAGTCTACATGACTAACAGTCCATATGAAACATGACCTCATCTACCCTGAGACCAGAAGAAATAGATGGTGCTTGGCTACCATTAACAACTGTTCTGATCAGGGTCATCATAGATGGATCCTGATAGAAAGGGAGAAAAATGAGGAACAGAACTAGAATTCTTAAAAAGACTGGACCAGTTGAAACTAGAGTACTCCCCAAGACATTTGAAGACTAAGTGAGATACAGCATAAACCTTGAACCAAAGCTACACTCTGAGGTCACCTTTTGGTGAAATAACAGATTGGCTCATAAAATAAATATTACCAATGAGTACTGTTCACCTTTAAAAACTCACCTATGTGAGACCAAACAGTCAACAATCACTATACAGCAAAGATGAAAGGGCAAGGGCACAGGGAAAGCAGATTACCGGAAACTAAACATCCAGAATGGAATTCATGAGAATGTTGACACATTGTGAAAAATGTAACCAATATCACTGAACCATCTGTGTAACCATTGTTAAATGGGAACCTGATTTTCTGTGTAAATTTTCACTGAAAGTACAACAAAATATTATTTTAAAAAGGGGGAACATGAGTATATAAAGATGATAAAAGATTTGTCCCAACCAGATATGTATGCCCTTATTACCCCCTGCTAAGTCTGTTACAAAGTGAGCACTCAGCTTCTGTGAGGGAGGGATAGTCATGGCCCAGGTATTGTCTTCCTCTCAACTGACTGACGGCAAACAACAACAACAACTGACTGAAGTAAGCCCTCCTTTCAGCTAGGCCTAGGGTCCTAGTCTGCCTTCCTAAAGGAGGCCTGTATCTGTGAGAACATCTTGACTAGTGCTTCCCCCAAGTGTCAAGGATGCTGTCCCACTTCCTTCAAGCCACCAATGCAGACATTAATGTGGAGAAGAATCTTTGCTCCCAGATGACAAGACAGCACTCTGAGCATATCCCCAGTGAGTCTCTGAATCAACAAATGTCACCTCTGCTCATACTAAAGTTTTCTCACTGGAGAAGTACTCAGCTAGGGACATTTGCTGAGCATAATTCCAGCCTTCTGTTGGACATTCATGTTCCAAGATCATGAGAGTCACTTAAGCTAAGAAAGGATTGGGCTGTCTACAGGACTGAAGGGCAAGGTCAGTGGCTTAGAGCTTGAGCCTGCTTCTCACTCCTGTT